CCCCATCCCGGTCCCGCAGCCCCGCAGCCCCCTGCCTCCTCCCTCATTCGCTCTGCAGATACCTGCTGAACACATCCCGCGGGGCAGGGGATGGCTGGGACAAGCCAAGGCCCTGTAGCCCAGCCCAGCCCCCCTGAGATTTAGTGGGAGTGACGGACCAGAACCTACTGGTAGTAACTATATAAATAACTAGGGCCCTCGCCGGCCTGGCTCAGCCCTTAGAGTGTCAGCCCCCGGGCTTGAAGGGTCCTGGGTTTGATTCCTGCCAAGGGCATGTACCTCGGTTGCAGGCTCCATCCCTGGCCCCAGTTAGGGGGTGTGCGGGAGGCAACCAATAGGTGTGTCTCACTCACGTGGCTGTTTCTCTCTTCCTCTCTCTCTCTCTCAAATCAAATTAAACATAAATAAATAAATAGCATAAATAAATAGCTAGGGACTGCTGTTTGTACCAAAAAGGTGCATCTTCGAGTCACATTTCCAGTATGTGGCTCACCTGCAATTTTGTCTCACCCTCAGGTAGGATGACCAGCTTGTCCTGGTTTGCCCAGCGCTGTCCCAGTTTAGACCTGCAAGTCCTGCAGATCAGGACAGTTGATCACCCTACCCTCGGGTCAGAACACACTCATTTCAGAGATGGAGAAACTGAGGCGTGAAATACAAGGCGTTTCTTCCAGGGTCGCGCCGTGGGTGGGGCGGGCACAGTTAGAGCTGGAGGTCCTGACGGAGGATCCAGGGCTCTTTACGCAGGAACCCTGTTCACGGCCCGTATCCCCCTCCTCTCAAGGTCTCGAAAGGTCCCGCAAGGTCCCGGAATGCACAGAAGCACCTGCGGGCCCCCCAGGGAGTGGACAGAATTCCTGATGCCTTGATTACAAGCCCAGCTCTTCGGTATCAGAAGCCCCGAGGACAGTCCGGGAATCTCAACACTCAACAGTTCCCGAGGTGATGCTGAGACCACTGCTGCCTTCGGGGAAGACAAACCTAAAACCCTCTCTTCCTCCTTGAACCTTGACTAAGCCCAGCTGGGAAGTCAGCAGGGAGGGAAGGCCCGCTTCCCCGCCCGCCCTCGCCGTGGCAAGCGTGGACAAGTGCAGCCCTTCCCTCTCTCCAAGACCAGGGCCTGCGGGGGGAGGGGGGCCGCGCTCCTCCCCACCCTCGAGCTGAGCCCTCCCAGCTGTGCAGTGCTGGGAACGGGCCAGGCATTTGTGAAATCCTTGGGTGAGCCTGACCCACTGTCATGAGGACTGCCTGTGGAAGCCGGTGCGGGGAGGGGGTGGGGGGCTGTTCCCAGAAGCAGGGAGAACTCTGGACTTCCCACTCCGGAGCATTGTGATTGCAGCACGGCCTTAAGCAACAGCGGTGGCCTGGAGGGCTGTGTGGCGGAGAGAACCAGAGCCCCCCACCCCCACCCCACCCCAGG